ATTTCATTTTTTTTCCATTATAAATTTCTATAACTTTAACCGTTGAAATAATGTTTACGTTTTTAATTCCATTTCTGCGCGCGCATAAATTTTATATCGTATTTTTTGTCAACAATGATTGAAACAATGACGTTGAAATAACGTTAAATAATCAACGTTTGAACTGTAACGTTGATTTAACGTTGAAATAACGTTAAATAATCAACGTTTAAACGGTAACGTTGATTTAACGTTGTGAAATAGTTGAACAACGTTGAAACAACGCTTCAACCGAATTTCAACGTTGAAACAACGTAATAATGCCGGCTGGGTAAGGCCCCAGGTATTGATGACATTTTTGGCAATGTTGTGCTTTATATTTTTTCTGTAATAAAAAAGCCTATTTTTAATATCTTCAGCTCTTCAATCAAAAACGGAATTGTCCCAGACAACTTAAAAATAGCAAAAATTGTACTTATATTTAAAGATGGAGATACATCTGCAATTAGCAATTATAGACCAATCTCAATTTCCTATATTTTCTAAACTCCTTGAAAGAATACTTTACAACAGACTGTATAAATATTTTATAGAACACAAAAGTGAAAATTAATACGGGTTTCAAACGCAACATTCAACAGAACATGCTATCCTAGATCTCAACTTCCTTTAATGATAGGAAATTTGTATTAGGAGTCTTCATTGATCTTACAAAGGCGTTTGACACAGTAGACCACACAATACTACTAAGAAAAATGGAAAAATATGGCATAAAAAATCAAACTATAAAATGGGTAGCCAACTACTTAGACAACAGACAACAATGTGTTATCATAGATCACTATAACAACTCGAAACAACTAAAAATCAAATGTGGGGTTTCTCAAGGATCTACTCTAGCTCCTCTTCTATTTTTAATTTATGTCAACGACCTCCCTAAATTCACATCTAAGTTAGATTGCATAATTTTTGCAGACGACACTAATCTGTTTTATTTTTCTAGCTCAATCAGTGACCTCTTTATAACCGCAAACTTAGAACTTATTAAACTTAACACATGGTTCAGAGCTAACAAATTGTCATTAAACTTAAACAAAACTAAATACATCTTATTTCACCCCAACGAAAAAAAAAGGCAATTCCATCAATTTTACCAACTCTTAGTATAGACATCACAATTATTGAACGAACTCAATCATCTAAATTTCTTGGTTTGCTTCTTTACGAGAAATTATCTTGGAACTCTCACAAAAATACCATTAATACAAAAGTCTCAAAAAACATTGGTCTACTCTATAAAGCAAGAAATTATTTATCGTTTGAAAATTTAAAACTTTTTTATTTTTCCTTTATACGCAGCTATCTATTATATGCCAATATAGCATGGGCAAGTACCCATAAAACTAAATTAAGTTCACTCTATAGACGACAGAAACTCGCCTCAAGAATTATTTTTTATAAAAACAAACTTACTCACGCAAACCCATTACTAAAACAGATGAATGCTTTAAACATTTACCAAATTAATATATATCAAAATATTTTGTTTATGTTCAAACATAAAATGGGAATTATTCCAAGTCGATTGATGAATAACTTTTTTAAAACTAATATAAACAAATTTAGCACTAGAGCAACTGGAAACTATATAGTACCCCCTAAAAAAAGAAAACTGTCTCAATTCTCAATAGCATATCGTGTCCTTACTTGTATAACAAATTAATACCAAAAAATCCCTCAATATCTCTCCTGAAAAATATAAATTCCTTAAAATCTTATCTTAAAAAACTTGCCTTAAATACAAGCAGTTATATGGAAATTTTCTAATAACTTATGAGTAATTAAAATATCAAAATCATGTACAAAAAAAATGTTATGTTTTGCTCCTTCTTAAAAACACGACTAATTATATTGAAAAATGCAATAAGTTATGAATAAAATATTTATGAGTATCTCATAAAATTGTTTAAAAAAAGGGTTCTTGATGACAAGACTTTACACAGTTTTCTGCGAGTTTTCCTTGACTACATAACTAAAGGTTTAATTTTTCCCTTTTTAAGACTTTTTTTTGTCTTTTCAAAATATAAACTGAAAATCTATTTTACATTATTTTATTAATTTGTCCGTCAAATATATTATTTCAGTTATTTTCAAAGCATTTTGACTGTATTTGTAATAAAAATATATATATTGTTAAAACTATTTGTAATAAAAGTATGTATTGTTAAAGCTATGTAGTTGTAAAAAATATATGGAAAAAAAAAACAACAAACAAACAGATTTAAACATTTAAACAAAACATTTAAACAGAACACATATATACATAAAGTAACTTACGAGTGAATAAACATCTGCGCCAGATATTCAGACAGAATGCACACATACATGTAAACATAAACAGACAGAACACAAGCATACAGATAGCAACTTACAGGTGAATGAACACCGCGCCAGAGGTTTAGACAAAACACAAACTTGCAGATAGCTTACGGGTGAGTCAACACCACACCAGAGGTTTAGACAGAACACAAACAAACTTGGGTGAAGAATAAACTTGCACATTTCGTAAAAATAAAATGCATTCATCTTAGCCGTCTTGAAACAAATCACTTTAAGCACCTTTAGCTATGGCTGTTATCATTTAAATAGCATGACATCAGCTAATGTTTAACTAATTTATCTCATACAACCAATGGAGTAAAAAGGAGATAAACATAAAATATTAATGGAAACAATTAACTCTTACAAATCTTGTTACATTCTGACATAATAGCAAAATATTGAATTAAAAAAATTGTAACGTCGATACTAAAATTTTTGAATAATAATAATAAAAGAAACATAAACTCGTCTACTACTAAATTAAAATAAATAATAGTTTCAAACTTGTATAAATATACTTAGCCAAAAACATTCTTAAAAACTCAGTAGCCTGCCCATGAAAGAAGTTATAACATCACATGAATATGCACATATTTGCCAATCTCCCCTTATATGTTAATGCATTAAGTATGCCCTTACTTTATACAAATTGACTTATTATATAATTTTATAAACGTAGTGTATTATACGCTAGTGAAAAAATTTTTTATGCTCTTGGTATTTGTGTTAATTGTATTTTGTTTGTATGCACCGAACAAATAATTTTTATGCTCTTTAAATGTGTTTTCACGCACCTAATTTATAGTATGTTTATTAAATCAGTTATAGCTATTATAATTAATTATAATAAATACAATAATCAATTGTATTAGGTAACTCTATAGTTGGTTAACAAAATAAACAATAAGATTTCATTCATTTAATTTTCAAGATGTTATTGAGAATGAAAGTTGTAGTTTTGAAGTTGTTATTTGTAATTGAGCAACAAAACATATAATTTAGAAATGGAAGTATGTAATAAAGAAATCCAACATGTAATTAAGAAACCTAATATGTAATTAAGAAAACGTTAGATGAAATTGAGAAACACAACATGTATTTAAGAAATCGTAATATGTACTTAAGAATTCAAAAATTGTAACACTCAATGCACAATGTAAGCTTATAGGTTATTATACCCGAAGTTGTAACTAAAAAACGTAAGATGTAAATGCAAAGATAAAAGTTGTAATTGAGAAATTCAAGATGTAATTTAGAACATGAAAATTGTAAATAAGAAACTTAAAATGTAATTTAAATAGGGACGCGGAGTTCCAAGAAGGACTGTCGAAAGTCAAAAAAATATCATTTCTTTCTGGTTAGAGGTTAGTGGTACCCAGAAGCTCCAGAAATGTAAACAAGCTTATGGGTAACGTTTGAGAAAAAAATGAGGACTTTTAGGTAAGAGGAGCGAACAATTTTTAAACCCGGAGTGCTTATGTATAATAGCGGCAATGACTCCGGGACTCCGGGCTTCAAAACAATATGTCCCTAGTCATTAAATCTCATGATTTTTTTTCTGCATCAGAAAAAAATTCTAGACCAGAAAAAAACAGAGATCAAAAGCCAAAGTTCTTTTAGGACTTTGTAAATTTAAAACATGAAAGTTGTAAATAAGTATTAGATTCTTAAGAATTCTTGTTGATGAGAAGTTATCCTGGCTTTCTCAAATAAGATATATTCAATCTAATATCACTAATAAATTGGTATAATGTATCGAGTTCGCTCATATATCAATAAACAAAGTCTTAAACTAATTTACTTTGGTCTAGTTCATTGCTTCATCAGCTATGCAAACATATTATGGGCAAGTACGCAACCATTAAAATTAAAAAAAATTAAAGTCTACAAAAACATTCGCGCACCATAAAAAGAAGCGTGAACATGCTAAACCTATAATAAAAGATATAAAAATGATGAATGTTTTTGTAACAAATATCTATCAGCATTTAATTTTTATGTATCAATTCAATAATAATATCTCTCCTGCACACTTTGATAACAAATTTGAAATAAACATAAATGAAAACTATTATCTAAGAGCAAATATAAGTAACCCATATAAACTCGCTAAAACTTTAATAATTATATTGAATATACCATTGCATATCGAGGATCAAATATATGGAATAGTTATCAAAAAAGACTTAAATGTATGGCAAAGTCATTAAGTTCATTTAAGTTTCTAATAAAATAAGAAATTTTTAAAATTTAAGAATCTTTTATGCTTAAAGGAATCTCCAAGAAATTTTATTTATTTTCTAATTTTTTTATTTTTTATCTTTATTTGATTTACTGATCAGCGCAGCAGTTTTATGCCCATTAGGGTTTTTAATTTAATATCTATATTCTATGGAAAGTGTATACAAGTGCTCTATGAAAATATTGCGATGACGTATTGTCATCTTCTTTGAGTAAGAGTTTTGCGTAGAAAATAGATTTATATATTTTATGTTATATTTTTTACACTCAAATTAATATTAACAGATATTTTAAAATAGATTTAAATAAATTATAAAAATTTTATGATTATGACTTGTAAAAAAAAATGACTTTTTTATTAAATAAAAAAAGGTAAAAAAAAAAATAGTTACTGCTATTGGCAACTGAAAAAATATATGAAAATCAATAATTCTTAAAAAAAAATCTAAAATCTTATCTGAAGCTCTTAATTACAACTAATATTTTAACGTAAAAAATTATCGTATCATAAACAAAGATATATGACAAAAAAAAAAACAACAACATAAAATGACAAATGAATGACTCTTTATTTTAATGAGTAATGTTTTTTTCAATTAAAATAAAAAACTTCCATATCACGAATTGCTACAGGTGTCGTTGAACCTAGTAAAAGAGGACTTTTGACCTTTACTGAATCATCATATGCCGTTTCTTCAAAAGTAAACTGCTCAAAACCGAAACAGGGGAATATTCTTCCATATCTTGAGTATTTTGAACAAAGTTGCGTGTTACCAAGATCTATAATCTTCAACATATTATCAGGATAGGTAGCAAACACAAATGTTTTATTGCTGGAAGAATATTGCACATCTGAATTTATAAAAGTTGAATAAATAATATTAATGCCATTATTTTTACAATTTTTCTGTATCTTTATTTTTTTGGATTTAGTATGTTTTTATCTACGTAGTATGGGGGAAATTGCTTAAGTTGAACATGTTAACATTGTCATACTTTTTTTAAGTTGTTAACAATGTTATGTTTTTTTTAAGTTGAGCATGTTAAAAAACGTCATGTTTTTTTTTTTAAGTTGAGCGTGTTAACAATGTCATCCTTTTTACTGCCAAAAAAATTGAAAAGATTCATATTTTTGAATATTATTTTAATTTAGTCTTTTCTTTTAAAAAAATTAATAAAAGATTGTTATTTAAAAAATCTTTATACCAAAAATTGATAATCTTTCAACACACTTAATTGTCTCATTTAAGGGAAACAGTTTCCTGATGCGCATTTAAATGCAAGATATGCCAAATCTTAATATATTTACGAATATTGTAGTAACAAATAAAAACCAAACATATAAACAAATTAAAAATTAAAATTAAATTTTAGAGCAACAAAACAAAAATCAAAACTTTATTAAATTTCTCTTTAGAATAAAATAGTTTTAAAACATTTTGATTTTTCTCTGGAATGGGGTTACCTCTTATTTAAGAATAAGTTTAACGAAAATATTTTGTCTCTTGGTAATATATTATTATATGTTTTTAAACGTTTAGTATTTTAACATATTATTTGATGTATTTATGCTGTCAAAATTTTTAGGGATATACAACTATATCTAATTTATAATTTATTGAGATTGTTAATTTCGAGCGGTTCTCGATGACAAGAGCTGATGGTCTTTTGCAAGTCTTTGCGTTCTTTTTATAAAATGAAATACCTGTATAACAATTTATCGTTTAATTCTTATTGTCATTAATTCTTATTGTCATTATTTGATTATTATTATTTTTATGCTAGAGATTTTATTGTTTAACAGTTTACTAAAAAGGAGCCTTTCTTTCATAAATAATAATGAAAATAAACAAAAAAAGAGCTGGGTATGCTAGAATAGCAACAACCATATTACAAATGGTTGTCAGATCAGTCTGTTAGGATAAAATTTTTTTAACTATTTTCCTATAAAAACGCAAGGATGCATTAAGCAAAAAAAAGAGCTGTAATGAAAATACCTGTTTCAAAAAGTTCAAACATACATTTGGTTACAACTATACCAACAACAAATATGGTATTAGAAACTTGTAGAAGATCATTTAATGCAGATTCTTATTGCAAGTAGATGTTGCCTACGTTTCTTCAGTTTGTTTCATTTGAGAACCATTTAGAGAATTAAGTCATTGTAGCGTATAATGCTCCTTTTCACATTTATTTAGAGAGTTGATGAAAATTTACTACCTCAGTTGTTACGTCTGTTACTCTACAGCCCAATGTTAAACCAAGGTGATACAATTTGGTCCAAAATTAAAAGTAATGTTAAAAATGCAAACATTTTAAATGTTGTTATGCTCTGTTCTTTTTTGTTAACAATTTATGCTTTTGACGATTAATAAATTTTGTTAAAAAAATAGGCTTTACTAATAGCTCCTCTCCATTAAAAAAATTAAGGGTTTTGATTTTCCTCATTAAATATGTTTAATATTTTTTATATATATGAAGGTAAGTATACAACGTGTTAAAACAAAAGTTTTAGTAACTTGCATTAAATTTTTAGAATTTTTTGTATAGAAAGTGTTTTTTTTTTTTTTAATTTTTATTTTAATGTTATATATATATATATATATATATATATATATATATATATATATATATATATATATATATATATATATATATATATATTCTCTACTATACTCTTCATTCTCTACACAAATGATCTCGCAAAACTCACTGAAACTTCTGAGATATTTGCCAATGGTACTAAACTTTTTTCTAAAACCTAATCGCAATCTAATTTTGTTGATCTGCAGGATCGTCTACGCTTGGTATACGAGTGGTCAAACACTTGGTTACTAAAGCTAAACACTTCAAAATGCTGCGTCATTCATTACGGTCGAAACAACCCCCATTACAATTACTTTCTTCAAAATAACCAAGGAATCAACCAATCTCTAAGAAGCTCTACTAAAGAACGTGATTTAGGAGTCATTTTTACATCTAACCTCAAGTGGAGCGCTCATATTCAAACAGTTGTCTCTAAGTCCCTACAAATTCTCGGTATGCTGAAAAAGACTTTCACTTTCATTGATGAAAAAATGGCTCTCAAATTATATAAAGTATTTATAAGACCACATCTTGAATATGGAGTGTCCATTTGGGCTCCTTTTTTAAAAGCTGATATGGCTTTGGTTGAATCTGTTCAACGCAAAGCTACAAAATGGGCTTACAGCTTGAGGCATCTTCAATACTGCGAAAGGCTAAAAAGATTAAACCTACCATCTCTTGAGTTTCGACGCCTTCGATGCGTTTTAATCCAAATTTTTAAATTAATACATCGTTTTGATATAGTTAATGATAAATATCTACCAAAATATATTAACTCCGTGTCTCGTGGTCACCATTCTAAAATAAGGCGTGAGTATGTTCTAAACTGTCTTCCAAGATATAATCATTTGTATAATAGATCAGCAAAATACTGGAACAATCTACCAGAGCAAATAACTTTGTACTCCACTGTACTTTCTTTCAAAAATAGACTAGACTCCTGGTTGTGGAAAAAGTTTGGAACAAATATTTATAAAACTGGTTGTTTATAGTGGGGTGTTTCCCCTGCTCGCTGTATGTGTACATTCTATGTAAATTTACGGCTACAACTATAATAATAATAATAATATATATATATATATATATATATATATATATATATATATTGCATTCAGGTGTGTGTGAATTTATATATATATATATATATATATATATATATATATATATACATATATATATATATATATATATATATATATATATATATATATATATATATATATATATATATATATATATATATATATATATATATATATATATATATATATTCACTGCCGCTCTCGGAAGTTAGTACAGTAGGCATTTTTTAAAAAAGTGATATTGATATGTAATTACGTTATAGAATTTTTAATTTATATTATTAAAAATTATATTTTTCATGCATTTTACTAATATAAATTAAAAATTCTATAACGTAATTACATATTAATATTGCTTTTTTGAAAAATTCCCACTCTTCTAACTTCCGTGAGCGGCAGTGCATGTATATATATATACATGTATAAATATATATATATATATGTATATAAATATACATATATATATATATATATTATATATATATATATATATATATATATATATATATATATATATATATATATATATTTAAATATATATATATATATATTTATATATATGTATATAAATATATATATATATATATATATATATATATATATATATATATATATAAATATATATATATATATATATATAAATATATATATATATATGTATATTTATATATATATATATATATATATAAATATATATATATATATATATATATATATATATATATATATATATATATATATATATATATATATATATATATATATATATGTATATATATATATATATATATACAATAAAATATATAAAGTTAAAATTTAAGATGGATAATTACATTTTATTCTTCTATACTAGCAGTACTTGCTGAACCGACAGGCCTTATAATTATTATTTTTAATTTGCTTTATTTATCAGTTCTTGTATGTAAAAAATTTATTTTTTAAATTACCGTTTATTGATTTTTTTGATTAAACACAAAAAATATTTTGTCAATAATTAATAACAAGTACCTTAAATATACAACAATACTCAGTTAAAAAGATTATATCAATTTATTTATAACTTTAGTTTAGGTTCTTAATGAAAGTATGTTATCTTAACACATTGCTATATATGGTAGAATATAAAAGATTATTATATTATGTTCTTTATTATTTGCTTACACTTTATTTTAAATAAATTTAAAAATAAAAACTTAAACTTTTATTATATTAGGCATCATTTTTACACACTTCTTTGATGTTTAATTATGTCTGATAATTTAAGAAAGGAAATTATTAGACTTCGTTGAAATGAAAGAAGGTAGGCTAGGCGAGCCGAGATAAAGCGCCATCGAAATGAAAGAGATTAGCCCAGGCGAGCTGAGATAAACCGCCGTTGTAATGAAAGTGATTAGCCTAAGCAAGCTGAGATAAATTGTCGTCGAATTTAAAGAGATGAGTCCAGGCATGTTGAAATAAATTGTAATCAAAATGAAAGATATCAGGCTAGGTGAGAACTCAATAGGTATATTACGCATCGCATAGCAATAATACTGCTATAGAGAGTAACTACCTCGAAGAATTAAACCATAATTGTCAGTATTGTAGTGCGAAAAGATTTTTAAATGAAACTCATTTTTTATGCTGCATTCAGGAAAAGTTGTATTTCCTCCTCTTTCTCTATATCCACCATTGTTGACTGATTTAATGACAGAAAACGATTTCCTTCAACGCCGAAATAGCTCCTCACTCAAATATGGCCTTTTTGTTTTAGGGTCTGTGGGAAAATTTTACATCGTGTTGGAAATTTAAGACCAGCAGAAGGAGGTCTGCCCAAATATTGTCAGTTGTATATCTATGATCCTAATGCAGCAGTGTCATTCAGAATGGAGCAATCTGGTAATGATAGTTATATATATATGAGTTAATGCAACTCTTGCAACATTAATTAATTAAGAAAACTAATTTGCTCTTGTTTTTAAAAACATGGCAGAAGTAGAGGATGAAGAAACCCGCCGAGCAGCTTTATAAGCTAGACCAACTTCTGTTGTAAGAATGTATTTGCTTGAAGGCATGGTAAACGTTAATACAATCTTCCTTCCCATAAAGAGGTTGCTATTGTGTTTGTGTGAAGATGGTGGTGCTTCACCTGCATCCAAGGAAATTTTTATATACCGTCGAGGTATATTTAAAATAATTTAAAAA